GTGGTCTTACCGGCACCGTTGTGTCCCAGCAGACACGTGATCTGATCCTTGTACATGGTGACATCAAGTCCCTTGACGGCTATCTTCTCGCCACCAGGGACCTGGAAGACCTTGCGTAGGTGCTTGACTGAAAGGGCTTCGCCATTGCGCTCTTGTTCACGCATGTCGGTGCTGACCAGTTCGAAGTCCGGGTTCAATTCTATCGTCACCGTATCCAGGCGAGCATCTGGAAGACTCTCGGTGATCACCTGTCTCTGTTTGTGACTTCTCCAATACGACGGTGACACGGGGAAATACCATTTAAGCGACGTGCCGTACTCCCTGGGCACAACCTTTGCAAAGTAGAGACCGAGAATTGTGTACAGAATCGTGTCGAAAGCAAACATCCCAATTGCAGCGCTAATGCTATAGTTGTGACTCAGCGTATCCATGGTCGAAAATTGCACTCCTTCTCCCGTTTTCTCAGCATTCGCGAAAACATTCACCCCCAACGAGAGAGCCACCGGAGAGAGTATCGAACCAATCTTCTTGGTGCTTTCAGCTGTGCTATCCGAGAAGCCTTGAGAGATCGCGTACATAGCGAAGAATGCCACCATTCCGACGAACGCACCAACGCGAGCCTTGCTGAACAGAGTACTGATGAGGAAGGCCAACGCCAGCACACTCAGTCCAAACAGGAAGAAGAAGAGGAAGGTGACGAACATCGAACTGTTGGCGAAGAGTCCCGCCAGACCAGCGAGAGCTTGGACAACAGCACCGACGAAGAGGATGGCCGTGTATGTCACGTACCACGTTACGATGATAGACTTTTCGCTAACACCGAGGATCTTCATGAACTCTCGTAAACGCAGTTCCTTCTCTTGAATGAGCACCACCAGAATGCGCGAGATCGTGAACAGATACGCCATCACAAAAACAATTGAGAATACACTTGAAACGTTGTCGTAGAACGGTGAGCTGGTGTAATCGTCTACAGGAAACGGGGCCACAGTGGCGCCCAACATGGACTGAGGAGCCTGGCGCAGAGGTGTAAGCAGAGCTTCCTTCGTACTGTTCGACAACGCCGTCAAAATCGTCGATATGGACGTGTCGCCTGACATACCAAGTCCGATAAGAGCTTCCTGTATCAAGGCATCTTCAGTCAAAACGTCGAGAAGGGTGTTATCAAGTTCGGGTGAGGCCATCGCTGTCGTCTGTGGACGTTGGCACACACCAGTAGTCGACTGGTTGGCAGAGTTCCACTCTGGCATGCACGTCACGAAGCGAGTGGCAAGCGTCTGCAGTGTCATGAAACCGGTTACAGTGTATACCGAGTAGTAGTCCGTAACTATATCCTTTTGAAAGGAGTCCACGTCCTGGAGAGATCCGTCTGTGGTCGGCACACGACCAACGGAGTCTCTATCGTCACCTCTGGTTGCGTTCAAACGCAAAGAGTATTCGATAGACCCAAACGTCCCAATGTCGTC